GGGCAGTTGGTGGGGGTAAGGGCCTTGCTTAAGGGCCAAGAATAGGGAACATAAGGGTGGAGACAGGTGGTGGTGTTTCAACATTCCCACTCTGATTTTCATATTATTGAGAATAAGTACAAACATATTTAATCCAATCCTTCTCAACAACTTTCTTTTTTCCTTCGTGCTCTCTGTGAATGCTTTTTATCCTCCCGCTCCTTCCCCTGATTCTGCTCTTTGTCCTGTGAATCTTTTGGAGCCTCTCTTTGCATATGTTCCGAATTGTAAATGATGAATCTGGTCAGCTGGTCTCTCAACACAATTGATGAAATTTTCTCAACGAGAAGACAGGGCAAAGGTGAGCCCTCCTGCCCCGACGGGACAATTGCAACCGGATACACAATGGATTCCGGGGGCAGTGGAAGATTGTGTGTCTGTGCATGTTGTCAGTTGAGGATGTTGAAGATGCATACATAATTGAATTTATGATAGCAGGATTTCTGCTTTTTGGAGTTGGTGGTTGACTGGCATATCGACAAATTTGAAAAACGTCGACAGCTGTTCTGGCCATTGTGACACTGCCTGGCGAGGGGATATGTCATGCTGTGAACGCTCAGACTCAAATGCTGTGTGAGCTGAGTCGTAACCTGGACGCAATTCTTACTGAGAATCGCAGGCTACTTGCTGCTCCTGATTCTCGTTAGCAGGAAGGAATTGATCTTGGAGAAGTTTGCCAGCTTGGCTCGACAAAGTTGACCACAAATTTGGCTGTTTGGAGTTGTCATTGAGATTTACCAGTGAGACTGTAAGGCAGATGGAAATGAACGGAGATGAACTGACCTAAAACAACTGCTGTTATCTGAATCTGGCTCTCCTGTGTCAGCCTTGGAAAGCTGACTATCTCAAATTCTGTTATGTGAACAAGTTGCTCCGCTCCCCTGTACCTATTCCCTTCCCCAAGGACATGTGTGAACCTGTGTCAGAGCTCTACCGAGCTGGCTGATAAACATTGCACCATCACTTATCATGGTATTATGGACTATGACTGAGGGGGCACTATCTGAGACAAAGTTCACAAACTTACTCCCTTCAAACTCATCACCATCGCTGGCCTCCATCCTTTTGCCCCCCACAACCCTCAGTGCAGCAACCTATGTTCGATGTGAAGGTGCCAGGTGGCTGCATTGCTCACTTGGGTGGCCTGTGCAGGAGCCCCTCCCTCACCCACTCCACATACATATGTCTTATGTCACCTGTATGTTGCTTTTTTTGTGTGTGCTGAGGATTTTTTTGCAAGTTCCCACTGTGTCCCGTTAAGTTGAGATATGATTTTTTTAACCTCCTTTTCCCTCATGTTTCCTTTTTTCTTTATCTAACAAAAAGAGCAGCGCCTCCCATGACGGCTGCAGCCTTAGGCACCTCGTCTACCCATGTTTCTCTTTTTATTTCTTTGAACAGGCTGTACTAATATTTAATTTTGTAATGTTTCTGTGCAACATCAATAAAGGCATTCTGATTCTGAATTTACTAATAATTCACTTTAGTTTTAGCCTCACTCCAACTAGCTGTTAACTCATCATTCAGTCAAAATTAAATCATATTTCTTCAAACAGATGCTATTCACAAAGCTGTCGAACAGGTAAGGTTTGTTATTCATGTGGTTCTCACTGATTCCCATAAAATAAAATAAAATAAAAAATGAATTATTGCTTTAAGAGCAATTTCACTGAAATAAAATGGAAGCTTTAGAATTGTCTGTTCATTTTTCCGCATACTGTTAGCCAGCTGTAATGTATTGATATGAGTAAATGTCATTGTTAAACCTTAAATCTTAAGGTGTAATCTACTTTCATTTAAATATTTGGATAGTTGAATAGATATTTTAAAGTTTTTTTTTTTCTCTCAAATGTGTGGATTTTTTTCACAAACGGATGGATGGATGTATCCCTATATACATAGTTTCGTCCCACCTCATGCATCACGTGTGGTGTGTATGACAAATAAATCTCTCTGACTCTCTGATGTGTTGAAATGATTGTAGGCAAACTTGAGTCTCACCTGATTCCTCTAGGTATCTGCAAATGGGCAGCCCCACAACATCCCGTGAAGAAGCTACTGCCTGACTAAAATCACCATCTGTGAAGAAGGAACCCTCCGAGGTGCTGACAATGCTGGACCTGCCTGATGAGATGTTGTCTTCCGATGCCGAGCCCCAGCTGTTAACCATAGACCCTGTGACTGATCTGTCCATGTCCCTGGTGCTAGAGACTGGGGTCTGCTCCAGCTCTCGGAGGAGCTGCTTGTGCGGAGAGAGGTGGTGCAGCCGGTGCTTGTGCTTATGGTGGTGGGAGGATTGGCTGTAAAGATTTTCAGCCATCTCCGTGTCTGTTTCCTCCTCCACCTCTTCCTCGTTGTCCTCTCGTCCATCTGCATCCAAGCAGAGGGGGATTGAGCTGTAGGTGTGGTTGAGGTGTTCGGCTCCGTCGTGTAGGCCGTTGCTCATGTCTCCCTGTGCTGATGTGGCACCCAGGTGACTGCAGGACACTTTGGTAGGAGATGATGTCGCTCCTCGAACTGGAGGGATGGGGCAGCTTCTTATGCTGTCCTCTGGACCAAAGCTGTCAAGAAAAAGAGGGAAGTAGAGAGATATAAAAAATAAATGAAGCCTGAAATGAACTCAAATATACAACACACCTCATTTGTACCAATGAATTATACATAAATATATATTCTTTCACGTCTAACAGTATCAGCTACATTATTTCCCACTTTTTTTTCTTTACCTCCCCTCCATGGGCAGACTATATTCATCGCAGTCCAAGGCATTAACATGAGGAACAGACATGACTTCCCCCCAGGTTACTGCATTATGTTTTGGCATCTTCTGGACCTGCATTCCTTTCTTTTGATTGTGACTCCCTAAGTAGTGACAAAGCAAACATCAAGGTGAGCACAGACGGTCCGTTTGCCTCATTAATAAAACGCACTGGGATGGAGCAGATGAAGGCCTCACCTGAGGTGCTGTTGCTGCCTCTGTCTGAGCTGTGGTGTGAGCCTCCCGTGCTGTGGTCACGGCTCTGGCTGTACATGATGCTTCCGTGCAGATCTAAAAACAAAACGCAAAAGTGTGTAGCATTTTTTTGTTTTAGTTTGTAAACTCTTGTCAAGCACATCAGATTTGCTGCATACCTTTGCATAGCTCAGCTGTGCTGTGCTGCATCTGCGCAGCCAGCTCTTTGGGTATTGGAGGCAGATTTGGCGGCTGTTTCCAGCAAGGTATATCCAGAGGCTCTGCTGTGGAGCCACCAGAGGCCGCCTTGTTTTTGATGCTGGCCTGAATGAGCTGTGTTGTGGCATATGGTATGGGCTCGTATGTGGCTGACGCATCCCCTCCTGAACTTGCATAGCAGAAATTGGAGTTGTTGAAGGCTTTAATCTCACTAAGCTTGTTGGAGAGGTTCACATCACTGTATATGGCTGTTTCAGAACCAAGCTGCCTTCCTGGTTTGTTTTCTGGATGGTTTCCATAATTGGCTATGCAGTCAGCTGAGTAGAGGAAACAAAGCAGCACAATAACAAAGCAAGCCTTTTATTTCTAGCATTTTGACAAAGTGTTCGATTTATATTGTCTATCTCAGAAGCTTCTAACTGAGCTAGGAGGTGATCTTGTGCAAACCTGGTCGGCTGTATGTTGTCATGTTACTGTCGCTCGTGCCATTGCCATTATTGCAGCAGTTGATGCTGCAGTCCTTATGATTGGCACATGCATTGGGCCAATTTTCTGGCAGCCACAGCTGGTTCAGTGGTTCGCCCATGCTGAGAGGGACAGCCCTGCAACGAGGAGGACCACAGAGCTGTCAGTCAAAACCTGCTGTCTCCATACATCACTAATGAGTGAACGTGCAGTGGAAAAACGGGTTTTAAAGAGCAGGAAGACATCTCCCCCTAGTGTCTGCTCATTGCAACTGACACTCTTCTGTTTATCATGAATTTTGTGACTACCTGCCAGCACCGCACACAGAGTCTCCTCTTTGATATGCAACTGAAAGGACACAGAAAAACACGATTCAACCTTGACAAGCTGACAAAAGAGCGAGTGTAAAAATAGTATGGAGTCTGAGCAGAAATCTCAAGTCACAAGTCTGCAAATTTTAACAATAGCCTATATCATGAAGTTTGTTTGGATTTGCAAAAACACAAATGCATGTCATTGCATTTATTAATCTAAGAATATGCCACCGGGGGAAAAAAAATTAAAAAAAATATGTCATTAACTAGCAGTCCCAATTTATAGTACAAATTTTCATTATTATTGATTTATTTATTTTTTTTTAATAAGCAGAGCACATGGATTTGGTATATTTTACTTTGTACATTTAGTGATATTTCAGTTTATGTCTATACAACTGTTAACAAATAACTTGACAAACTGGGTCTTTGTTTGCTCTTTTCTGTTTAAAGAAGCAATAATGGTTCTGAAGTCTAACGTCTATATTTCACTTTTAAGCATTGGATAAGTTCTACATTAGTATTTCCCTTTATTTCATTTTAAAAAACAGACAAAGCAAACAGCACACAACAGCTCATTCCCCAAAAACTGAAAATACAGACATAATTTTAAAAATAAACATATTATGAAACAAGATTTTCTACGCACATAAAACAATTGAATTATTATTTAACAAGCCATACAGTACATACCTGTGGGTGTAAAGGTGAATGATGGAACTGTTGAGAGAGAAAAAACAAAAAAACAATTATTGTTCATTGTCACAACTTTAAATTGCATTACAGCTGAATACAATTGTTAGGGTTTGCCAAATTTATTTTGCATTTCAATGGAACCACTGCAGCCTTATTATTATTATTATTATTATTATTATTATTATTATTATTATTTACATTGTAGCTGTTTTTTTTTTTTTCATTTATTTTTCCCAATTTAAATGCTTTCTTTTATGGTTGTCTACTGTTGTCATGTTGTCTGTTGTCATGATTCCTTGTTAAAATCAGGTCTCTCTTGTAAATGAGTCCTTGAGTCTCAATGAGACTAACCTGCATAAATGAAGGTTGAATTATGGACATCTCTTTAAAATATATAAATGTGTCGTGCGGATGAGTTTAAAATTAGTGCCGTGCCTGTCTTTGGTTTACAGCTGAAGGTTAATGAGAGCGACGGGGAAGCTGACAGACAGGAGGGAAAAAAAAGGCGAAATATTGTGGCGGCTGTAAATGTGGCAGGTTGACAGTTCTGTGCCACCATGTGAGGGAACGAAACTCTACAAATAAGCGATTAAAGGTCAGTCTTTGAATGTCTACATAGCCTCAAATGCAAATTTGCCACTGAAGACTTTGTGTCAAAAGCTGATTGGGCCAGACTTTTTACCCTTTCATGTGATCTGCATATCAACCTCTGAAAATATAATTTTATATCACTGAAATGATGACTGCTCTGGTGTGGTGGCATGTCATGTTTTGATTCCTCCTGTAATCAAATAAATTCACCCTCAAAGGGGATGGCAATATTGATGCACTTAAGATGCATAAGTGCAATAAGATGCACTTAGTCCATTATACTTAAGAACATACATGTATACATAAAACTGCCTCAAATGGTGAAAAGAAAAGACAAAAAAAAAAAAAAAAAACAGTCAGGAACACACCCTTGCGGATGCCGGTGTAAGTGCTGCTGAGGCCGCTCCTCTTCTTGCGGTGACGATAGAGCCACACACTGAAAATCATGAGAATCAACCAGCAGGTGGCGCCAATGCCGGCAATAAACGCCGGCTGCTTCACCACATCCGAGATCTGTGCTAAAGTGTCTCTTTTGTCACTGATGTCCATCATCTGGCCTGTGGAGTCTGATGAATAGAAACATTGAAGGTTTCAGTCAGTGTAGACATGCTGATGGGACTGCAACGTTAGAGAAGCTCTCAAATAAGACTCTGAGACACGTTCAACAGAAGGTGGTTTTAGCTTTAAACCATTACCTAACTGGAAGAAAGCAGCATCACTCCTGACTCCAGGTCCAGCACCATTGCTGGCTGCCACTTCAACGCTGTAGCGAATTCCTGGGGCCAGACTGAGAATGAGCACGGAGAAGGTGAAACCATCCACCGATTGGTTCACATGGTAGCGGCTCTCGTTACCCAGACACCAGATCTGTCGGAACACAGCAAGGTGACAATGTGTGCTTAAAGGACACAAACAACAACAGTGTATCAAAAACACAGCTTCACTTTGGAGTTGTGAGCTTTTTTTTCTTTTTTAACCTTGTATTCCTGAATGACTCCATCCTCTTCCACCTCGTAGGGTGGTTTCCAGGAAACAATGATAGCTGTCCCATTGGCATCACTCTTTGTGACAGTGACACCCTGGGGTGCTCTCCTAGGAGCTAAGACAGTGATATAGACAGTTAACCATATGGAGAAAGTCTCACCTGATATTGCTGATGATTTTACCATTAAAATAAAAAAGTCACCTTCTTCTAACGTCCTGACCACCTTCACCTCACTGTCAGCTCCCTGGAACTCATCAAAGAAAGGTCGTACTTTGAACTCGTAAATCGCTCCTTTCTTTAGCTGACTGATCACCACCCCGTCCTCCAGCAGAGCACGCACCTCCAGGACACTCCACTGGGCCTCAGGCTGGCCATGCTCAGCAGACGCCCTGTAAAGCACCTTGTAACCTTGGATATAAGGTGACTGCTGCTCTACCTATAAAGACCCCCAAAAAAAACATAATCTGTTAATGATCACCCACATTTTTGATATATGTGACAATTTTTTTTTTTATGTATTCAAGCATAGGGGTGTAACAATACATTGATGGTGATTCACACCCCTATTCAAGCAGTAGGAGACTTCTCTTAAATGACAAACAACGACCTAGAACAGATTGGTTAAAACGTTGTTACCTCATTTTTCCAGTTAAGTTATAAAAGGTGAGTTTCTTGTGTCAGCCACACTCAGCACTGTTTGGTTTCAATATACAACAGACAAAAACCAAGCACGTTTCATTTGAAACAAACGGGCACCTTTTAAACAAAAAGGCAAAGTGTGCCTGAAAAGATTTGTGTAAAAACACCAACTCAGTCAGCGTTGCTGGTCTATTCATGTGTTTTAAACAAACTCCATTAAGTTACACCCAACAATTCATTTGAAGGAGCTGTAGATTTACTCTCTGACAACGTACGGAGATAAAACTGTGTACATTTAAAACAGAAAACCTAACCAGGAAGCTCCATAACCATTTTGATCACTTTATCTCTGTTGTACTTGCTCTACTTGTAATTCTGAATAAAATGTGCTTTTCCAAGACTTGGTTTTTTTTTTAATATTTTTCCATTTTTGTCCTGACTTTTACGATGAGTGCAAGCAGCAGAGAGAATGTGCTGGGCTGTCAACAAGGACTTACCATCCACTTGACTCTGACAGCAGAAGATGACAGCACACTCGGTGTGTACAGGTGAATCACAACGTCTCCCAGCTCTCTCTGGATGTGACGATGGTCCACCCCTTGCAAGGTGGAACTGCTGTCTGCGTATATCAAAGAACGAGACAAAGTCAAATAAATGAAATCAACATGATTTTTTTCTGCAGTTTAGACACAAAGTTAAGCAGACAGAAGGATCACCATGTGTTCTGATAGAATCAGAGATCGGACTTGGATCGCTGAGGCCGTAAGCATTCACTGCTCTGACCATGAAGAGGTAGATGGCTCCAGGTTTCAGATTTGTCAAGACAAAGTTCTCTGCCTTCACATGCTCTGCAACGGTCACCCATCTGTTACCTAAAGTATAACTACAGAGAAGTGAGGGAAAGATGACACATTACTAGGGAACAACTCAGGCTTGACATAAAAATGATACTGAATTATACTTAAGCAAATTTGTAGCTAGCCTGAATGCCTCAATTAGGTAAAATACTGGTGGTGGACTGGGATTAGGATTGGATTTCCAAGACAGAGTGATCGATGTGTGGCTGACGTCAGAGACTTCAGGTTTAGATGGAGCACTGGGAATCAGATTAGTATCTTTGGGATGACTCGGCTGTACAACAACCCCAAATTCTGGAAACAAGACACCCACAGTTTAACTAAAAATACAAATAAAAACCACCTCTGGACTCTTCAGAAGGTACTAACGTTTGACACTGCACCTCCATATTACAAAGTAGTAACCCACCTTCTACTTGCAAATATGCTGTCCATGCAGCTTCTCCACTTGAACTGGAGGCGATACATGTGTAGAATCCTGAATCTCCAAGCTGAGGAGAAAAGACCCAGGGATGCACATTAGTAGGTTGGATTCTGGTCCTGTTCTTACCACTTGTTAGTACTTCAGTCCTTACTTTAGCATAATGGAACTTCAGTGATCCAGTTTCTGTTAGGGACATCCGAGAGTCTACAGGAGACAACACCATTCCATCCTTCTTCCAGTGGATTGTGGGTGGTGGTATGCCAGCAGTCTGGCAACTCAGTACCACCGTGCTGTCTACAGGAACAGTCTGATTGATTGGGCCTTGTCTAATGACAGGAGGAGGGTGGTCTGATCCAGCTAGTAGAAAACAAAAGCAGGAGTAAGAATAAATGAATGTTTAAAGTTTCACATGTTTTACACAACACAAGACAATGAAGTGTTTGTGGATACACATAACTGATGGAAAAAATACAAAGTAAAGAAAGCCATGAACCTTGGTAATCATGAAGTAAGCATATTATTAGCCATTTTTAACCTCACTGAGCAGCTGGAAACATACCACATGCATGGAAGTTCTAACACATTACAGCCTTAAAATACTTAAAAATAACATTTAGTGATAAAATCCCACATCAGCGAGTTGGTTCAGAATGAGTCATCTCATACTTGAGGGGTGAGTTATTAAACATTTTTGAAAAGATATATTGGTGCATGGCAGCACGGTGGCGCAACTGGTAGAGCTGTTGCCTCTCAGCGAGCAGGTCCTTGGTTCAAACCCCGGTCCCGGGGCCTTTCTGGGTGGAGTTTGCATGTTCTCTCCGTGCATGCGTGGGTTTTCTCCGGGTGCTCCGGTTTCCTCCCACAGACCAAAAACATGCATGTTAGGCTGATTGGTAACTCTAAATTGTCCCTAGGTGTGAATGAGAAAGTGAATGGTTGTTTGTCTCGTTTGTCTCTATGTGGCCCTGTGATGGACTTGCGACCCATCCAGGGTGTACCCCGCCCCTCGCACAGTGATTGCTGGACATGGGCACCGGCGACCCCCGTGACCCAAAATGGAATAAGCGGGTAAAGAAAATGGATGGATGGATGTTGGTGCATGAGTTTCTAGTTATGTTAATTATCAAAATAATTAGATTACCACCCAAAATTAGTATAAAAAAGTAGGAACAATACTGAAAAATAAGTAACTCATATACATTTAATCAGAATTTGATGCCATGGCACTCAAGATGTACCCTTAATATTGTATGTTTTGGCTCCTTAACATAATTTAATTTAAGGGGAAAATCAACTTGTAGTTTGAGGCTACTGATACATGTTTAAAAAATGTTCTGAAACAGACTTTTCAAAGCTAGTAATTGAATTTAAAAAAACTCTTGTTTCAAAATGTCAAGAAGGAATTAGTCGTTTTCACCTGGGCTTGACTCGGCCTTCCTCTGGTCAACCCGACATCAGTTCAGTGGATTTCCATTGGATGATCTAACCTATATTCAGTTTACCATATCTGTGTGTTTTTGTTTTGATTATTCAGTGACTTTTTTTGAGTTTGTGAGGTTCTTTGAGATATTTTGTTTGTGAGCCCCATGCTATTTTTATGTTCCCTTTTAGTTTAGATTCATATCCACTCATGTTTCTGTTTGTCATATTAAGATTCATCCTGGCATTCATGTTTTACAGTGTCATATCTCATTCAGCTTCATCAGTGTTTTTCCAGTTAGTCACCTGTCCCTAATCGGCAACCATCCCAGGTGTTTTCACTTTCCTCCCTCCCTCAGTTTGTATAGCACCTGTGCTTAGTCAGTAACACTCCAGCAGCCCACCTTGAAATGTTCAAATGTCTCGGTCCACTGCGTGCCTCCCTGTGTTTTTCCTTCCTGAGTTTGTAAGTTTGCTGCTGCCATGCAGGCTTTTTTTAATGTTTATTTAAACATACCAGTTTTTAGTTTACCTTTGAAGTCCCTCTGTGTCTGTCTGCATTGTGTGTCCAACCAAACCATCATTGACCATGAAACACGTTCCATTCTTAGAACGGCTCCAGGTGAGCAATGCCAAGCAAATTATTTCACTAATGCAAATTGCAGGTCATTGTTTGATCATGGTACCAACTGCTTTAAAACCACCATTTTTTTTTTCAATACAGTTAAACTGACTTGATTTTATCCACTGTTTTTGTAACATAAATCTTGTAGGCCTACAAAGTTTATCCACGATATTGATGTCATGCATTATTAGGCGTCACTAAAAAATGACATTAGAGTGTTGCATGGTTTTGCTATGAGAATACCACACAGAATGAGGCAGCACTCTGCAGGATAAATCACAGAGACAGTATAGAACAAAATTATAGGTAGGCGGGTCAAACTACATCCATCAATCGAAAAAATAACCATAGTCACTATGTCTAAAAATGTTAAGTCTGGTCAAATCAGTCTTTCATCCAAAAGACTTCTTCAGTCTGAAGACTGAAAAAGTGTTTTGGATGAAAGACAAAACGTTTCTAAGTTTTGTTTTTTTTTTGTTGTTTTTTTTTTTTTTTTTTTTTGCTTTTTAGATTTTTCTATCTGGATTATTGAGCATGCATCAGGACATAGTCACTGTGACTTGTTGCAAAAGCAGATGGCTGAGCCTTTGAGAAGCCTAATGAAGAAATTGGTCAACAACTTGGTGGGATTATTTTTGGGGGGATTAAGTAAAATCAAACATTTTCTTGAATGACATAAATATAAATTATTTTGTATTCTTCTGTGTAAAAATGTCCTAAGATTTCCTTGATTCAGGATGAATTTCCCTCCATAAAGAACAAGAAAACAAGAGTAAGCTGAAATATTTTCCAGACTAAACAATCATTCCTGAAACCATCTACTGCTTGACATTTATAATGACAATAAAGTAATGTGCTGGGCATGTGGTCAGGAATGAAATCATTGTAAAGTAGTAAAACTCTACCTTCTCAACTTTTGCATGAGGCACTACACTAAACTGAAAAAAAAAAAAAAAAAGAAATGAAGCATTTTATTATATTACACAAAATGTAATATTAAATATACTGGATACAAGTTATGTATAATAAAATAAAATCAACATTTTCTTGATTTGAGGTCAAGTTGTGTTCGACCTAATCATAAATGAATAAACACGGTGGACACTGTTTCATCTTTCGTTTAGAAAATTTTATATACAATGTTTGTTTAGTGGAAAATTTCCATAAATTTTAAAGACTAAATGTTTTAACCCACATTCCTACTTGAGCTAATTTAACTTCTTAAAAATGGTAAAAAGGATAAGTGTGTGCATCCAGGAAGTAAAGATGCTGTGGCATAAATTGCACCTTATTATACCCTTGTTATCCATTCTCTATCACTGCATTTACATTCCTCTAATTTCACTATTAATGTAAAGTAATAAGGGCTAAAAGACAGAAATGATGTCATTGACAAAAGAAAAAAAATAACAGCACCCAGAGTGGTGGAAATGAAATTAAACCATGCATATTGAAATGTCATGTGATTATGTTGCAATGATAACAATATGAGGTCAGATTACTGGTGCTACATGAAAAACAGAGTTAGCAGTATGACATACTGCTGGTCCCATGTCAATAGGGTCTGGTATCCCCTCGGGCCTGAACACAAGCAACAATTTGATGCAAATAGATTCTTTCAGCTGTTCTATTGTTTTGTGTGACAAGATGACCCACAGCTGAAGTAACTGACCCTCAAGATCCTGCAAATCAATATAATCTAAGCTGATCCCCATGTTTTGCATAGAGAAAGTAGGGAAATGTGCCTTGGTGGCCACCGGAGGATCTCAACATGATGCAGCCAGTTTGTAGACACAAATGCAATGTGCAGAAGTGTGTTGTCTTGTTAAAAAAAATAATAATAATGGATTAGAGTGTTGGCTCAGGAGCGGTAAACCATGCAAACACATAATGTCACTGATATAGTGCTGTACCATCCTTGTGGGTCCCCAATATCATTAGCAGAGATGACCGGAAGACATACTCTGTGGCTTCCCATACCAAGATGCAAGAATGAATGTCAATGCATCTCTCAACAAAATTGGCATGATTTGTCCTTTTCTCTCAGTGCTGCCTTATGCACACATTGGTCATCTATGGTATTGTAGAACTGAGAATTATCACTGAATGTGGCATACCAATTGTCAATACATATTGCTAGATGACACAAAAGAAAATATGAAGAGAGATAAAGAATTCAATACGTTTGTATGGATGACAGGTGCAGGTGTTATGAGTTTTTGTAATGCTTGGCAAACAAGACAACAATCCTGCCTTGATGTGGCTGTCATGGTAGAAAGAACCTTCTTGATGTGTGTAGCTTATTTCAAGCCACTGTGTCATCCTATATGGAGCACTTGCCTGACAGATGTGTAATACAATGGCCCAGTCTCATACAAAGCCACGATGTGATGACTGTCTAACACAGTCAAGATATCCTCTGCATCTGGTGAGCTTCACTCACTGTTTGATTGAGTGCCAAATGCTCTGGCAACTACCAAATAAAACCACAACTTATGCCCTCTCTTAACGTGCCACCTCTTTGCAGATGGACTCATTTACATTTTCCTTGCTGATCTGCAAACTATGTCCGAATCTACTCACACATCTACTCTGGTCACGTAGCATGTTTTTGTCACTGAGCATGTATAGGGATACTAGGAATTAAAAGTGGCTGTTCAAAGGGGTTAGAGTTAAAAACAGAGAGGGACATAAAAGTAAAGATGAAAAATGAGAAAATAAATACGAAGTGGCGAAAAAGGTAGAAAGAGATAAGATGTTAAAGATATTGAGAAGAAAATTGGCAAAACAGGAGAACAATAGGCTTAGGTGAATGTGCAGGCTGTGGAGGGAAAAAATCAACTTTTCCCCTCCAGTGGAGAGCAACTAATCATTCATTGGGTAGAAAGTACTGCTGGAGCAGGATCCAATCATGACAGCAAGCCCAACTAATAACAGTTCCACTTAGATAACAGAGCCCCTTTTCTCTCACACACACACATTTGAAAACCCTGTGGGTAGGGGGTGGTGGGGTGAAGGTTTTAGACAGATAAATAAATAAAAAATACCCCCTAAAAGTGATGGAAACATGCTTTGAAAACTGCCAGAGGTAATGTGAACCAGCCATTACCATACAAATGCACCACTCCAATTGAGGATGAAAGGAATGTGGTGGGATGGGGAGAATTTTGGCGAGGCGAGAGCAAAGAGAAACAAGAATGAGCTAGACAGCAGATCTATGCAGACCATTGGAAAAAATAACCAACGAAAAGACATAACCATCCACCATCTCGTCAAAAACATCCACTGAGTGAGTGCCCGCTGTGTGACCACAGTCACAAGTTCCAGTCTTGCACTTAATAACTCCAAGTGTAGATGCATTTACTATCTGTTAAAACCTGAAGTCAGTTATCTCCATTAAAATAATGCATGTACATTTCACCATGTTACATGTATTCATGTTCACACAGGTGTGCAATTACTGGTGTGTGCCTCCAAGCACAGTTAAATTGCTTTTTCTAAAGCTATTAACAGATATTTCATCATGTAGGGTTTGGATTAGAGTCCCCTCAGAGCACTTTCCAGAGTTCCTCTGTCTTCATCTACACATAACTGCACTAAAACAAAGCAAATAATTTGCTTTGTCCATGTGTACTACAATAGTATATACTATACTTATTTAATACTCAGTTTAAATATTTTAACATCTAAGCTAGGTAGGCCTGTCACAATAATACATTTTGCTGGGAAATTAATTGTTTCGGAAATTATTGTGATAACGATAATAGTGTTTGAAATTTGACAATAATTTGTAATTATTGTCAAATTTAAGAGGAAATGTTGATTCATTTCTGTTTGACCACTGAATGGCAGTATTAGACAGTTTGAACCGGAGGATGGATAGTGAGGGAGCAAGCAGCATGTCTATTTAAGAAAAATGGGAGGGAGGCCCCTTGACGTGACATGGGCTGTCTCTCGTTCCTGTTTTTCGGTTCTTAAAATGGTGAACGCTCGGTGTGGTTTGAGCTCTTTAGCATAGCGTTTTTCACACAAAGCTTTTAACAAAAAAATCAGTAAACAAGTTCTCAGCTTCTTTTTGCAGAGAAAAACAACGTTTTAGACAAAGGCACGGGTTTCAACCGTGAATTTTGGAGCTTTGACAAGACGGAGGGTTTTTCCCCGAGGTCAGCCTGTTAACTTAGCTTGTAGCTTAGCTTCTCAGCTTAGCTGCTTTTAACAATCCAAAAAATGTGACTTTGGACTGTCTCAGGGCACTTTACAGGAACATTCACATACATAAAAGCCAATTAGTAAAGTTTTCTATGTAATGAATCCAGCAGACAAGTTGAATGAATTTTAAAGAGAAAAGAGAAAGGGACGGGTCAGTGAAGAGCACCGGAGTTGAGCCTTTTGTCATCCAGTGCCTTCAGTAGAAAGAGAGAGACACGAAGAAACGATAAATCCGAAAAATTAATATATGAGGTCAATATTTTTAATTTATCATGTGATTAATTGATTTATTGTTTATCATGACAGGCCTAAAGCTTGGGAATTTTCGCTCCTTAGGTGATGTAAATACTGAAAATCACTATTTGAATACATGAGATTTTGAACTCAGCATCAGAATAATACAATTTGAAAAACTTCCCCCTGACAAAACACACAGCCAGCAATGATTAGAGCTGCTGTGTTTGAAGCAAAAGTGGTTTTTAATATTCATGCTTACAAAAAAGTTGCTACGACCCGGTCTGTTCAATTAAAAACAAAAGAATCAAGCAAAATGTGTGCTTGTAATGAATATCCCCTCCATTGCTCATTCTCTTTACTCACCATCTGTAACCTCCAGCAGTGCTTTGGTGATAACACTGCCAGCAATGTTGAGAGCCTGGCAGATGTAGAAGCCAGCGTCAGAGCGCTGAACACCCGTGATGGTCAAGCTGCCCATCTGAGAGACGGACAGGCGACTAAAGGGCTGAGGTGGCTGGTATGAGAACAGAAGACTCTGGAGATGACACAGACATCCCAGTTAGAAACACACTGGTTGTGTTTATTTACACTGAGCAGTGATTTAGTGTTGTGACAAAGGCTGTGGGTCAGACTCACCTCACTGCCTTCCCTCTGCCAGAAAATAGCAGGCTGCGGGTTGCCAGTGGCTTCACACTGGAAGGTGACCGTCCTGCCCACTGACACCGCCTGGTTCCTGGGGCGAATGGCAAACGCAGGGGGCACTGCAGAGAAAGAGAGGCTCTAATTAACTACATATTCATCATCAATTTTAGAAATTCTCAGTGTGCATAAAGAGATCAAAGAATTAAGGGCCTCTGCACCAAATTAGTCAGGTTTTTACCTTTTCAAATGGAAAAAATAAATACCCACACGAAACATGCATTACATACTGTAAAGGTGGATGGAATTACATGACAGAGGATCATGATTTCCTGTTGCTGTCTGATGGTGGATGAGGGATGGATGAAAACTTACCAGTATTGACTAAAAGAGAAAAGCACACAAAAGAGCAGTGGAATGAGTAATCATGTTAAATAATGGGATGTAGAACTTCAAAAATAAAGCAAACAGTATTAGGACATGCTTTTAAAAAATCAACACAACGAGGCTTGTATAATATTGTTTTTCTTATTTCTTTATATATTGCTTTTAACATTTTAGGAATTTTTTGTGTGAATCTTTTTATCTGTTTCTGCTGTTATACTTGAATTTCCCATTTGTGGGACAATAAAGGTTGTTTCTATTCTATTCTATTCTATTCTATTCTATTCTATTCTATTCTATTAAGCTGGCATTAGGGCCAGTTTCACATTTTTTAACTGCCTATGGTCATTTGTTTGTAGCTGTGCTGCATTTGCAGATATTTAACAACTTTGTCTAACAGTTGTTTTCAGTCTGTTTGCAATCATTTCACATATGTTTAATTTTGTGTTTATTACCACCTTATGTCCTTGCAGCCATATGTCTCTCCCAGTGGTTTTTGCTTCTCATTATTATAGTTTACATAGATTTATCTGGCTGCAATTTCTGGTTGTGTATTTCATTTTTCTCTCCCATCTTGTCAACCTTTTTGCCCAAATTGATTGTCAAAGTTGGCAAACATGTGGATACACACAGGAATGGCCAGTTCGCTTGATTAACATTCACCTTCTTCTGTTCTGTGGATGAGGATGGAATATAAAATACCTCTTGCAATAAGTACCGGTAGTTGAATTTTCTCAAGCACTTAAACAGAAATGTCTCAACCCTGACTTTTGCTAACCACATTTGTTCCCCAAAAAATTCAGTCTCAGCAGCAAATATTAAATGTCTATTTTCTCGTGTTTACTAACATGTAATGCGAGAATATGTTGAAATTATTTTAATTATTTACATTCTTATTTACCCTTTATTTACACAGGTAGTCTCACTGAGTCACAATAACTCATTTTCAAGAGAAAATGAGTTGTATGTAAATTATGTAGGGGTATACTTAGATAAAGAGGTCTGATCACCTTGTTCAGGTGTGCAATCACAATAGTGAATGCGAGTCGACCTCGATCAAAGTAATAATGGTGAATTCTTGGCAACGCTGCCATTCCCCTCACTCAAATAAAAAAAGAAACCCGGTCAATTAAAGTCACAATTCTGTAACGTTTATTTTCAGTTTGAATAGTGACAATATGTAATAATAGCAAATATGAATGAATAACCAAATTGTGTTCGTAGAGGTTGTGTATGTAAAGATTCGAAGAGTAAACTAAAGGTGTCTAAAACTTAGTCGGCGCTGAGGGTTGTTTCTTTTCATCAGGAGAAAGATATTTATCCTACCGGAGGCATGTGTGTGTGTGAAAAGAGAATATGGGTTTCTCAAACACACAAAGAAACAAAAAAAAAGATGAAAAGGTGGACTCGTAAACTCTCATGTGTGAACTGTGCAATGGTGAGTGAAGTCACAAAGTCAGCAATGCTTAATGCTGACGGAAACCTGTGAGGGTAAAAGAAGGGACAGTCTGTGATTCTGTGCATTGACCATCTGCTCTAAGTGAAACATGTGGTGGGGGGCTGGATTTACACACACACACAAAAAAAACTTTAAACCAAAATATCCTTATTTAATTTAACCAAGGATTGTGTGTCGCAAATAGGAATAGAGTGACTAACTATGTGTTTTGTTCTTCAGAGGGAAGAAGCATACAAACTAAGGCTGCACAATATAAAGATAATTTATTGACATTGCACTATTAGTGAACACAATCTCAACTCATTAAGTCAAAGCTTGTTGCATTTTAAGTAGCATGCAATCATGTTTTGCAGGTGAGCCAAAGGTCAAATGCCAAAGGTCAATCCAGTGGACCCTCACTGACCTGATTTATGACAGAAGAGAAGGTGAGGAGTGAGGGAGATATGGATTTATTGCAATTTATATCATTGTTGCAATATTAAACAATGATATTGCACATAGCAAGTTTTTCTAATATATTGCAGTTTTAGCGAAAACATACATTTTTTTTTTAAACATAACAACAAATTCTGTCAGGTGTCTAGAAATAACACATGGATTGATACTGATACCTAACATGTTAGAAGGAAGATGTTTAAAATCAAATATTTAACTGTGCAATATGGCATAAGTTCAAAAAAAAAAAAAAAAAAAGGCCTCCTGGGACCTGAGAGCAGTTCAAATGCTGTGAAGTATTGCACTTTAGGAGGAATGGCTAGCTGCACTTTGGAACATCTTAAGAGCTAAATAAATTATTCTTAAACCTGAATAAACTTTAAAATTATGCAACATTCAGGAGTTACCTGTTCATATTTCATATTTTAATCAACAACAAACCAACAAAAGTCGGTGTGTGGTTCTGACTGTAGCAACAACTTAAACTAGCATTTAATTTTTATTTCATTATTTAAGATTTCTCCATGCTCTTTTCATATAATACAGTCTGCTCAACTGACATACGAATGCTCATCTTCTATTCTCCTCAAAAACTGAGTGTGGGGAGAGAGAGAGAGAGAAAAGTAAAGAAAGAGAAAAGAAAACAGCGATGGTTGGTTCCCCTTGAAGCTCTTTTTTGGGTTTGTGGAAGAAAGGGAAGACAATGTAATTGGAACCATGCCACTTCCCAGCAAGCCACCACCGCTACCTTATCTTTAATTAAGTCCTACTGGCCTCGGTGTATTTCTCCCACCGCGTCACAGCGATGTGTTTAATTGAACAGGTCTCTGTGTGCAACTTTGAGCTGTCGCATTTCCTATTTTACCATCACAAGTGTTAGTGAGTCGCTGAAGCAGAACAACTCGGACCTAATGAATGTGTTACTTTTGTGCTTGTCACTTTTTTTTTTACGGCTACGAAATTCACTATAACCAAACTTAAGCAACCTATTTTTGTGAGTGTTATTAAAATATGTCGATTGTCATATGCTTTATTTGACCTCAAGCTAAGATATGGGGAAAAATAATAACATTCTAAAGGAATAATCTTATTTGTCTGTACTGCTTGAAGAAAAACATCAAATTGAAGCACATTTGTGAAAAGTGGGTTTATGCATTAAAGGTCTAAGAAGCAGAATCAAACCCATTATATTTAGGAACAAATGTATGGGTTACATACTGTATGTATAAAAAAGACAAATCTGTATTCTGAGCTGGAAGAGAGGAAATGATGTCATCATGAAGGTCGGGTTGTACTGACCATGCACAGTGAGCGTGGCAGATGCTTCAGACTTCCCGACCATGTTCTCTGATACACATGTATAGGAGCCCTCATCTGAAGAGGTAACTTGGCGAACAATCAAAGTGTGGTCCTCTAGGATTTCAAATCTGTGGGCAGGATGAGCACAAAGACTCAAGAGATCAAACAAAATGCTGAGGCACTTTATTTGCATATTAAGAGAACTTCTGTGAGTTACCTGCCCTTAGGTAGGTCAGAGTCGTCTTTCCTCCAGCGGACAGTGGGAACAGGGTCTCCTTGGACCACACAGTGAAACTCCACACTCTCATCTGCCAACAGCACAACACTGCTGGGACGCTTCACAAAGGTTGGCCGCTCTGGAGGGCAGAAAACAGAAGAAACAAAAACAGCAGTGTAGCCATCATTATGCCATCAGTGAGAGCTCAAATTGTAAAAGTGCACACATAATATGAAGAATTTTAGTCTAATTTTTTTAATTAAGGCATGTTAAAATTACATTTTAAAGCACCATTGAAATGGCGCTACAAGATCTGATCTAAAGATCAAAGCATGTTTTGTAAAATTAAATTGCAAATGTGTTCACTTGTTATGTGCATGACAGCGCTGAAAGTTTGCAGAGGAAAAACTGCTTACAAAAGTCAAAGCGTTATTTTATGCAGAAGAAGGGCTTGCTCGGCATAAAACACCACTATGGCTACATGGCAAGTTTTAAAAATGTGTCGAAGGCTGAAAAGGGGAATAAACTACCCCATGTGAAAGATGGATCTTCAGAGTTTAGCATCTGGTTTGCATCCTTAAAAATTGTCCTATACTGCACAGAGATAATAAGCTCAGTCACTCAAGGTTTTGTAACAAAGAACCAGGATTGCTGACTGTAACAAACCTATTCACAGAGAATTGACCCCTCAGATTTTACATCAGTTTGTGGAGTACCTTTGTATTCAAGTGCTGCTTCCATTAAAATAAACTCTGACCAAACGCAGGGACAAAATACTATCATATTGGTTCATTTTCCATCATATATTTTTTATTTGTATTACTGAAATGATTTGGTAATGGTACAAGAATCAGACACCTTGGAATGCAAACAGCTATTTTCGTTCCAATCCAGAAAACTCCCATAATTGCCTACAACCAGCACATAGACTGTAGTGGCCATAGTGATGCAGAACATGTATCACAATTAATGTTGTCATGGTAATATTTAATAAAACTGCAGTTACAGGGTTTACTGATAAATAGTAGTAGAGCACTTTCTAAATACTGTAGTTCCTTGTACAATCCCTCGCTACTTCGCGGATCGACCTTTGTGGACTCGTTCTTTTGCGGTTTTTCAAAGTAAGGTTGAACATGAGGAAAAAAATGTTCAGGACACATGATTGTTAACTTTTATATCACTCACGTGATTGGGACAGTATGGGATACTGTACAGTAAATAGGTAACAAAATTTAAATAAATACTTCGGACTGGTGCCGCCATTTTGTAGTTTTCTCTCAATAAGCCTACACTATCATAAGGACTACATTTCCCAGAAGCCAACAGTGCCATCTGCTGAAATACATAAAGGGAAAAGTTTGATCTGATCTGAAAAAAGTTTGGTGCTTTTTACTGTACAGTGACTTCAGCGTCCAGCAGATTCAGAGAGTCGCACAGAACCCACCAGGAACAGGACCGGAACCGGAGCAGAACCAGACCCATCAGCAAATCCGAGAGCTGGTAGCCGGCCCACAGGACTTCTGAGTGAGGGAGGCACCGCTGAAGGTCCGGTTACTTTATGGATCACACGAGACTTTTTTAAATATCTTTATCAGACCACCGGTCCCACACCAGCCACCCGAAGGTCTGCCCCCCTAAAAAATGCACTTTGGTGCTCAACAGCTGCACAAAACCAGATTAGAACCAAGAACTGCTGTTGTTCTCAGGATCTGGTGAGTAAAATTTAATAGGTACATACTGGTATGATGTTAAAATGACATATAAGAGTTTGGAACATTGCAAGAGTGTGGAAAGGGTTTATAAAGCCTTAAAATATATATAAATACTAAAATAAATATAACGTTGCTATTTCGCAGATTTTCACTTATCACGGGGGTGTCTCGAACGTAATCCCCGCAATAAACGAGGGACTACTGTAAACGCCACCCCAACAACAAATACTGGTATTGTTCAAATGCTTAACGAGATAAAAGTAATAATATTATTAATAAATAATAATAATTTATTTAAAATAATAAAATAATTTTATAACTACCATAGTCTATTCTATATATGTAAGATATGTTGTTTTTGTTATTTTGCAAGGCTTGCTTGTACAGTAATTGAGTTTTTATCCCATAATCTCTGGGGCACAAAAATGACCACAGTGTAAATTTGCAACCCAGACTTAATTATGTGGATCTAATAAGAGCTCTTATACGATGGAATGTGTTAGTAAAACATGGACAGGGCTGAAAATGGAAGGTGCGTTTAGGCATTAGAGTGTGATAGTGTCAGAAGCTCAGCTCCATGGGGAGCTCTTATACTGAAAGGTTGTAACACTGGATACGGCAGGAGTAGATATTAAGCACTTGTTTTTTTGTGGAAAACCTCTCCAAAAGCTACCAGACTGAGATGGTTGCACTGCATAATCAACATAATTAACAGGCTTTTGTCACAACCCAGTGACAACAATTTCATACATCAGCCTGGCGAAGCAAACCACGTGAACTGAGAAAAAAATTAGAACAACTAGAGCGGTAAAAAAACCACAATATAAAGCAACTTCAAAGCTGCAAATATTACCTAGCACTGTGAGCTCCGCAGTCTCGCTCTCCCTCTCTCCCACCATGTTTGTGGCAACACAGATGTATTTTCCTGCATCGCTCTTCCTGGTGTTGGTGATCATAAGCTTGCCGCTCCGGATCTTAGAAGAAAAAGGCAGAGGAAGAATGTTTGCACAGATGTATTTGCACTGAATTTTACAGACCTGATGTTTGCTTTGTTTGTCAGCTACTGATTGATTGCTGAATATTCATAATGCATGTATTAATCTGACTGCAAATTGAATTTTAAGCTAAAATCTGCCACATCAAATGCACACCGCTTTGAAATATTTATTCTCAGCTATGATAGCAACCGCATATAAACTAATCTTTTGGCTATTTTGCCTTTGAAAATTACAATTTTATTTGCAGCAAATAGAGCTATATTTAAAAATTGGACTGCCTTTCAAGCTGCATGGAAGGTCACCTATTCTAAAATTACATAATTCATATCTAGTCCTGAACAAGAACCCTGGGAACAAAGGCACAGCCTCTTTGTAGAGATGTTCCTTAGAGGTTCTGTCAGCCTGCTTTGCCTTTCCCAAACTTTTCACCCGCTGTACGCATATCTGTGCACACAAACACAGGCACACCCACACACTTAACAAAGAGGTTGAAGATATGTGCACTCCAGCATGCTGTTTTCACTATTTTCTGTATCCCACACTCCCACAGACTAAAGTAGATGTTTCATAGTGCTTTGAAGGAGACCGTCTGTGCTGATAGTCAGTGGCTACTTAGTGTTAGAGGTGATACCAGAGCAGCTCTGAGTAGATTTCATAAAGCAGACGAAGCATGCTGATCCGAAGACCTCAATACGAACAGAAAGCCGCTTTTTGCATCCAGACATAGAGAACCTTCTGCCAGGCATCAGCTTCAATTAAACTTTCATCCCAGTTATTATGCTTCAAGATTGCTTCTTTCCCCACCTACACTCAGTGATGGAATCAAACTATTCATGTATACTTGCTGGAACCACACAGAGCACAAAGCAGCACAGCCATTTCTTAGCAAGAGTCAAGGGGCCAAGGCTGCCTGCAGTGCTGCGCTCACAAAGCAGGCACTAAGCTAGACAGCACCTGGCTTGGTGGGTACTCTACAACCACCGCCTAGCAAATAGAATAACCATTAAATTGCTGCTGCAGGGATGAAACCAGCAGCTTCTCATTTATTAGTCAGCTTCCCTTAGGACTAACCTTCCACCACAAAATCATCAGGCTGTCCAGCACATAAATAACAGGGAAAAATGTCTTAAATACAACAAGATATTCCAGATATGTTGCAAATAGGTTTGAAAAAAGTACAATTTACCAAATCATTGAGTATTTTAGCTACAAAATGCCAGTAATCATAAGGAATACACTGGTGGAGTACTGCAGAATCAGCAGGATATTTGGACGGCAATACTACTAAGCAGCAGGAATTGCTCCTACAGAAGAACTGTACATGATAAGAAATGGATACAGGAGATTCAGTCTTTAAAATAAAGAATCAGATTGTATTGATACAAATATGTTTTAAACCAATGAATGGATGAATCAATCAATTAATATAACTTTATTGTCCATAACATTCCATGAAATGGAGATTTATCTTTGATGTTTGGCTCATTAAAAAAACAATGCAAGTTAAAAATGTCGTAAAATGTATAAAAAGGTTTTGCTAACCCAATAAAATTGTGTGTTTTGAATCACTAATCAGGTAATCTACACATCTCTAACAGTCACAAATATTGAGAAGCTTGTGACTGAGGTGTTATTTAAATGTAATGTGTTGCACAAATAGATTGTTTTCATTAAAATCCATGCTCACAGTTATTATATAAATATATAAACAAATAATAATCATCAAATAGCTAATATTACTGGTAGCCCATACAGCAAGAAAAACATTATACAAGTAGCCATGATTCTCTTGTGCCGCATGCTTCTGGTTTCCATACAGTTTGTAGCTTGTTTCAGTGAACAGTACCGGCAAAGACTCATTTCCAAACAGCAAAGATGATTAAGGAGGACAGAGAAAGGCACAGGGAAAGTACAAAGCAAAAAGCAGCCTTTGTATTTCTCTCAGTAGAGCTTCTCCCCCCTCCCGGCTCTGATCTGTTCGTCTCCTTAAATCAGAGTGAGCTGCTCTGTCCATCACATCCCCCTGGAGAGGCTCTGCCTGTCACTCCACACCAACGTGATCTTTGAATCAAGACCTGCTTGTCTCCAGGAGCATTACATACCTTCATATCAACTAATTCTACACACACAGACTAATGAACACAACTAAATTGCTCGTATTTGGTTATGTTTCTGAGTTCAGCTCAAGCTTGTTTGTCCCTTTATAAACAAAATTATTTTAATATATATTAAGGTATGTGGGCAGCACGGTGGCACAACTGGTAGAGCTGCTGCCTCTCAGCGAGCAGGTCCTTGGTTCAAACCCCGGTCCAGGGGCCTTTCTGGGTGGAGTTTGCATGTTCTCTCCGCGTGGGTTTTCTCCGGGTACTCCGGTTTCCTCCCACAGTCCAAAAACATGCATGTTAGGCTGATTGGTAACTCTAAATTGTCCCTAGATGTGAGTGAGAGAGTGAATGGTTGTTTGTCTCTGTGTGGCCCTGTGATGGACTTGCGACCCGTCCAGGGTGTACCCCGCCCCTCGCACTGTGATTGCTGGACATGGGCACCAGTGACCCCCGTGACCCAAAAATGGAATAAGCGGGTAAAGAAAATGGATGGATGGATTAAGGTATGTAAAAAAAAAAACTACTTGGGTAATTTGCGTCCCAACAACTTTTCATGCTAAATGTTTTTTTTTTTTTTTTTACTTGGCAATCCATTTTCTTTTAACCACTTCTTCCTTTTCGGGTCGAGGGGTGTCACTGCTGTCTATGTCCAGCTATCACTGAGTGAGAGGCTGGAGACACACCCTGGACAGGTCTCTAGTCCATCACAGGGACAAATAGAGACAAACAAGACAAACAACCATTCCCTCTCTCACTCACACCTAGAGTCAATTTAGAGTTACCAATCAGTCTAGCATGCATGTATTTGGTCTGTGGGAGGAATCCTGAGTACTTGGAGAAAATTCACACATGCATGGAGAAAACATGCAAACTCCACTCAGAGTGCGCACCCCACCCCCCCACCCACCCCCCCGGGCTGGGATTTAACCCAGCGACCTTCTCGTTGAGAGGCAGCAACTCTAATAACTGCCAACTGTGCAACCTAACAGAATAGTCAATCAATGAAAACTGTATAAAGTATAAGGAAGTCTATTATTCTGTTTCTTAAATTTCCGAATATGCAGTAGATGGTGTAGAGGCAGGGCAGCCGACTCGGGACCTGAAAGTCCCAGGTTCGATCCTCAGTCATTGCACATCTCGTGGTGTCTCTGAGCAGCACACCTTATCCCCCAAACGCTCCCCGGGTGCTTTCAATAGCTGCCCACTGCACCACCTGGTGGTGGATGGGTTAAATGCATAGATCCAATTTTGCCATTGTATGGGAACATACAACGATGGCAATATATAACACATTATTATTATTATTATTATTATTATTATTATTATTATTATTATTATTATTATTATTATTATTATCATTATTATTAAATACACCCTATTCAAGAAAAATATAAAATTTCATTAATTTGAAACATTTGAAAATGAATAATGTAAAAAAAAATAAAAAACAGTGGATTTTTTTTTACTGTAATGCGTTCATCTCTGTCATCCAAGTTGGCACCATCTCTCCTCCAGGAAATTGTGGGTTCTGGGTGTCCCCGGGGGGGCTGGCACTCCAGCACTGCAGGCTCACCAACGGCAACCATAACGTCAACTGGGTTCTGCCTGAAGTCATCACGTAAAACTGAAAAATATGAAGAAAAAAACAAGAATTAATGAGTAGTGGGGTTTATCTGTTTTTTTGAAAATAACTGTACAAAGATAAAATACATGTAATGGTTGTTTGTTCAGGTGGATATGTATCTGTTGTGTTCAAGAGCAGACCAATAACATCATGATGGTGGATTTATAGAAGTGAGATTATGGTTATACAGTATTTGCAACTTAATGTCAGACCACATGAAAATAGCTTTTTGCGTTATTACACCAATTATTCAGCTGTCTATCCTTTCTTTGCTTTTAGAATGCCAAATGAAAGAAACATAAAATCACTCAGCAATTGCTCTGTAGAGTGAATTCACTTGGGTAGCTTTATACTAGATCCCTCTTTGTTTGACCTTCAAGTTATGTCTCGGGGTTGATCTTGTGGCATTTTTAGGCCATCAAAAAATGGCCGCTGCCCATCCATCTAAAATGTTATTATTTTTTATTATTATTTATCAGTCTCCTCTTTCTCAAACAATTTGAACATTTTTTTTAACCTTATATAAAGACAAGAGGGTGCACATGAGTAATACTAGGGGGGGGAATGGTGGGATCAAGATATCTTCAACAGCAGGAAGCAAAATGCTACCACAGCAGTACATCATCTCTGCTCAATGAGTAGCCTGTTTGCTGAGGAAGCAGCCAGGAGCTAAACTGGAGACGAAACAAACGCGTCTAATCCAAAAGGGTGTTATTTCCACTGGTCACAGCCGCCTCTCATCACTGCTGTAAACAGCAGAGCAAGGCCTTCACTTAGCATCTCCAGCAAGATCAGGTCACAGCGTTACAGTTTAACCTGGTGGCCAACGAAATGGAACTGAAGTGTGATAAAGACAAATAGGGATTATCATAATGTAAACATCTTTTCACTCTGTGTCTCCGACAGGATTTTTGTTTCCTGTGGTGAAGTGAACAACATGTGCGGATGTAGACGCCTGTGCATGAGTGAGTGCTGTTAAGCATTCCCAGTGTTAAATTACAGGGGTGGGCTTAGAACCCCGAACAAGCCAAAGGGAACTGCGCCAAGCTAGAACGAGCAGAACTTAGTGGACTCGAGTTGGGGTGAAAAGACAGGAAACAACGGGGAAAATGCATAATCACTCCCAGATGGCAGTAACTCCTTCACCTCTGGCTATGAATTTCTGTATAATGCTGCACAGGGAGGCCAGAGACGCCTGATGAGCGCTATGGCCCGTGAAATAACAAATTGGAACAACCTTCTAATTGGAACTATTTTTATTCTTGCGTGTCTTGAAAAGCCACTCTGCTGTGTTACCCGTCTGAACACAGTTGCGACTGACTGTCTGCATTTGACTGAAAGCTGATGGGAAACAGCTGCTTGACAGCCCCCAACCCTCCGTCCCTCACCACTGCCGACAACACAATGTCACATGATAAAAGGCCTTCCTCGTGGGACACCAAAACATGGCTGAAGTTACGTCAGGGAGGAAGAAACTGAGACCATCACAACTCCGTGTACTGTGTGTGTGCATGCTGACTGATACCATCTTATAATCCGAACACAATCAGGTTACACATCTGCTTTAACTATTGTGTGAGGGGCCCAATTGTTTCCATCTAAAAGCCTGCCTGGTTAACTTCCTCAAACACATTTGCTAAAGATTTATTGTACATTTGCATGTATGGTAAGAACTTAATAAAAATGTGTGGGATTAAAAGTTGCGAAACTGTAGGAAATGTTTTTGAGTGACAATGGAAAGAAAACAGTTGTCTAGTATTTGCATGTACAACAAATATAAAACATTTGTTTCATATGCCTTTTATGTCTTGAAAAAAGAATAATCGCTTTGTGTAAATCATAAAACAACAAAAATATGTTGTCTTTAAATTTCAAAGCTAAGCCTGAATTTTTCACTAAACACTGTTTTAGCCTCTTTCACATTAAAATCCCCCCTCTTTTTTTGGTCATCCAGTTTCTTTCATGTTTTTGCACAATTTTTATTTTCTGTTTATGATTATTTTAAATGGTAAATGGACTGTACTTATATAGCGCCTTTCTATCTTATTTCAAGATACTCAAAGCTCTTTACACTACAATCTGTGTCCTCATTTACCCATTCATACAATATTCTACAAAACTAATTGAACAAATCATTCTAAAGAGACTAATCAGTGCTTTAGATCACATTCATACACTGATGGGACACACAACAGAGGTTATGAGGGGTTCAATGTTTTGCCCAGGGACACTTCAGGATGTGACTGCTGGTGGATTCAAACCCCCAACTCTCACATTGGAGGACGACTGCTCTAACCACTCAGCCACAGCCGCCTGGAAAATGGCAGGAAAACTGAATATATTCAATCTGTCAAAGAAATAAAACCTATTTGTATAAAGATTTTTTTTTTGTGTAAATGAGATTGGAATCAGAAAAATGCAGTCTCAAATAAACAACACAGTTTTACCTCTTGTTGCACTATTTTTAAGGTTATTGTGAAATAAAAAATTATAAAATTGTATAAAAAGTGTAACATGTAGTCATCTATACATGGCTGTATTTACTTAAATTGAAAACCTGTTAAGATATCAGGCAACTTTTATTATGCTCTGAAATCTAAAAAAATATTAATTGTCCCACAAATTTAATAGACAAATTTATAAAATAATCCTCATAATTCAAGCTTTTTTCATTATTTTGTCTCCGTTCAATGTGCTATTACAGTATTCATATTTTCCTTGTACAAAGTATGTTTCTGCAAAATCCAAATCATAAACACTATTTTAAATAGATAACTTTTAGATTAAATAACTTGCAGTAATTAGGTTTTATAATGTATATTAATATTTATGTTCAGTGCCATGAGATGACTTCTGTAGTGAATTGGTGCTATATAAATAAACTGAATTAAACTGAATTGAATTTTACGTATTTACCTCTTCTCTTCGTTTTTTTTTTTGTTTATGCTCTTTTATCTCCATCATCTGCATTTTAAAGCTCTGCAATTTATGTTTTGTTGCAGTTCTTGAGTTTTGCTTGTTTATTTTACAACTTTCTCTCATGAATTTCACATGTATCTTGGAGGCAGGCTCTGGGATGAGTCAAACTTCGCTCTGCAGCTTCTGGAGCCAGCCCAGCTTGCCTGTTTAGCTGAAGAATTGCACCTCTCACTGTCTTGTTTTCTTCTTCCATCTGATCCCTCCAGATGAGAATCTCACAGCCCACTTCAAAGCATCTGCCTCTGGCCTTCACTAGTCTGGATCTGACAGTGTCTGACTTGTTGTTAGTCCTCTGGAGCTTGAGCCACAGCTTGAAAGGTCTACTGCAGCCAAGCTCCAATAATCCTCTTTGCAGATTCCAACTGGACCCAACAGAAGTACAATCATACCCCACAGACAAGAGAGGGGTGGAGAAAAAACAGAGTCCCTATCACATCAAATCACTGCAAAACATTGGCAGGGAATTTTCTTCCACTTTGTTCATATGTGTCAAAAATGGTTTTAACATTTTGACCCCTTTGCACTCCGCTTTGTTACTTTATTCTTGTAAATTATTTTATTCATATATACAGGTATATAATGAAGTCAACATCACACAAACTCAGCTTTATTATTATTCAAACCACTTGATGTTATAAGAAGCAAACACTAATCTGCCAGGTCAATAATGATAAAAAAGTAAAATATCAGAATAAAAACTAGAATAAATCACTGCAGTTCTTGTAAAGCGCTGGTGCTTTAGTGTCAAATTTGCCAGAAGCACTGCCACAGCCATCCGCAATTTCTCCAGACTTTATGTCAAAGTACATATAATGAAAGCTTATCAAATACCTGTTTATGCCTTAGGAAAAAAAGCAAAACACTTGAGCATTTTGCATCATTTTTTTTATATATATTCTTGTGTGTGTGTGTGTATGTGTTTTATTGCTATAATTCATATGGAATTTTAATTCAAATAAATGTAGAGTCTATAAATCTTAAGGAAGACAATAGAAACAGGCTCAAATTGAATGGAACAGAACGAGATCCGTGATCTTCAGTTGCATATTTGGAATGCAATTGCAATGCAGTGCCAATTGGAATATTTAAAATATAAATTGTGTTCAATGTAAACAAAAGATGGGCAGCACGGTGGCGCAACTGGTAAAGCTGCTGCCTCTCAGCGAACAGGTCCCCAGTTCAAATCCCAGTCCGGAGGTCTTTCTGGGTGTAGTTTGCATGTTCTCTCCGTGCATGCGTGGGTTTTCTCCGGGTACTCCGGTTTCATCCCAGAGACCAAAAACATGCATGTTAGTCTGATTGGTAACTCTAAATTGTCCCTATAGTGAGAGAGTGAGTGAATGGTTGTTTGTCTCGTTTGTCTCTATGTGGCCCTGTGATGGACTTGCGGCCTGTCCAGGGTGTACCCCGCCCCTCGCACAGTGATTTCTGGACATGGGCACCGGCGACCCCCGTGACCCAAAATGGAAGAAGCGGGTACAAGATAATGGATGGATGGATGGATGAAAACAAAATATGAAAAAAAAAAAAAAGATTGTTTGGAATAATTTGGAATAGTTCCCAAACAATATTGTCTACAAATATACCAGGGACTTAATTCAAATCAGAGACTACATAAAACAAAAAAACAGGGTCGCCACATATACAGGAATAAATAGAATATGACTGATTGTTTATAGCTTTTGATGTAGGGTTCTGTAAAAATGTTATGAACAAATAGTATATTACCTGCTGTGGATAGTCTATTGTAAAGCCTCAGTTTGGGGGGGGGGGGGGGGGATGTTTATTTCTGACTGGACTGAGAAGTTAATAACTAATCTACGAGGTTGAGTTGCATGTGTACGTGGCTGCTTGGTGCTCTCTGCTTTTTGTTGTTTTATGGTTGTTTTTGTCCATGTTGATGTTGGAGCCAATACAGTATGGTGGGGGCTGAACTGCTGAATATTGGGAAGCTATACTGACTTTATGCATTCCCATTTGCATTCTGGACTTTATTCCACCGGAGATACAGCAGCACATTG